TTAAAAATTATCTTTTAATCTAATAATTAGTGTTTTGTAATAACACTACAAACTATTTTTTTTTCATATACATCATATCATAGATAAAGTTATTCTCATCTTTCAAGAAAAGGCTAAAAACTTAGAAAATGATAATGGAATTGTACCTAATTAAAGCTGAAGGCTTTTTTTGCTCTTGATCTTAATTAGCCAAAAGGCTGATAAAGGTATAACTAAAGACTTTTTGCACATGTAGCCCCTTTCATGGAAGATGATTCTTACAAGAGGAAGCTATGGATTCTGATTTAAGTACAAAATACTAGTGTCATATATTCCTCTACAACAAGTTCTTACAATATATCCAACCAGACTGACCTAAAATGTACGAAAAGATTATACATGATTTCATCTTCAAGGACTCCAAGGAATGAAGAACAGTTGAAAAAAGGCTTGGTGAATCTGATACTACAGTAACTTTTTTCAGGACCAGGAGAGATCATCTTCATCTTAAAATGGAAGATGATCCTTACAAGTTTCAACATAATCCAAGAATGAATGTAATAAGAATGACTTTTGAACAATCATCTTCAAAACAGCACGTGGGTAGGACCCATATATACCCATATAAATGAAGATTGAAGAATAGACATGATCTAGCAATTATAATTCATAATTTCATACTCTAATTAACTTAGAGCTTTGTGAACTACCACTACTATATATAGGTTAATTACAGATCTAATTAATGATGAGGATATATATAAATGACTAGAAAAGTCAAAGTTAGGAATATTTTTTTGAGTATTTTCTCGAGCTGCGCTAAGTTTTTGCTTGGTAGCTCCGGCAAGTTAGTCATTCACCGCGATACGATAGCCGCCACATCTCCATCTCTACATCAATTTTATCATTTTGTTCATCGAAAATCTAAGATTTGGTGACTCTCAAAAGTCTAAAGAAAGATGAAGACCGTTTTTTCTACGTGTATTGGGCATTACACCAAGGAGAGACTCTAGTAACAAGAAAAATATATTTTATATATTTAAGAAAGACTTAAATATTGAAAAGCATATCTTAAATTAAATGCTCACCTATCAACCAAAGCTTTAATTGGGTAAAGTGTTGTTAATGAAATGATTTATTGATAATGTTAATTTATTGATAATATTATGTAATAGTAGTTTTTATTACTTTTTTTCACTTATTAAAATAGATATAATTAAATCATTATATATCTATTTGTTTGATGTTTCATTTGTTTGATGTTGTATAATTGTTGTTAACTAATATGGTCAATGAATGACTTTCATGTAAATGTTTAATTAATTAGGCAAAAAACCCTAACCAAAAATTAATCTGACAATGGTTGAAATAAATTACGTACATTCACAAAATGGGAAAACCTTGACAAGCGGGATTTGTGTATGGTTCTCGTCAAAGTTTTACAAAACTACTCCCCACTCTTCAAGGGACTATAGCTAACTATGACATGAGCCTTGCACCAAATCTTTGGGGTTTATTCCAGGAAGGCTATATATGATATTTGGCACAAAATAGTTTGAACTTTCATCACATTTTCTTTCTTTGGTTGGGTTTTTGGAAAGGAGCTCAATGTTTTAGAATAGTAAGATATGCCCTTGCTTCAAGTCTGGCTATAAGATTCTACAAATGTGAGGGTTTGACCAGATGACTTTTCTCTCCAGGGCTACTTAAGAAACTTTTAACCTGGTGAAAAATTAAACATCGATTTTGTTTTCAAATTTAAGGGAAAAGGCCCAGTTTCCTTCACAGGGAGAAGAACAAAGAAGAGGATAATCAAAAGAGAAATTCTTGTTACTAGCTAATTCATTGCTAAACTTATTAAAAGGGGAAATTTTGAAAAGGGGTGGTAATACTTAATTAGCTCTAAAAGATGAAAAAATAAAAAATAAAAAAATAAAAAAAAAATAAAAAGAAAAGAAGGGAAAATGGAAGAGAAAGAACAGCAAAACCCTAAATTTGGTCGGCTACGTGATCCTGAGCAAGTGTGCGTGATCCTTAATGTAAGAGAAAAAGAAAACGAAGAGCTAGGGGAAGAGGGGAAAAGTGCTGACCTGCTGTTGGAGGGCAAAGATGTGCGCGACACAGCCATAAACAGGGTCTCTAACCCTAGCCAAAGCCTCATAACAAAGCGTGACCACAGCATCAAGACGCTTGTGTGCCGGTATCCTCATGAGCAGCTTGGAAGCATTACTGGCACCAAAAACCTTATGCACCGCTGCAAAATGAGACGTTCCTTGGTCCGAATCAAAATACGGTGCAAATATGCACCCTTTCACGCACTTTCTCCTCAGAAACTTGCAGGCGCCACAAGGCCCACCACTTCCATTATTTCCACCACTCATCTTTGGAGACAAAGGTAGCTAGCTTGAGAGGAAAAGAGAAGGTTTGATGTGGGTATTTAGAGAGCCAGAATGGGTTGGTTTGTTAATTACACTTAATTTTGGATATGAAATTTATCATTGAGAAAACCTTTACTGCCTTTTGGCCATTTGAAACTGAAAGGACTGCTGATTGTTCAAATTTCTTAAATATTTCATTTATATATATATATATATAAAGACAAGCAAATATTGTTTTTAGCGTTCATATTTTGCAAAAGTAGTCCTCAATCTTTAAAACCCAACAATTGCATTCTTGACTTTTTAAAACTTTGCAATATAATCTTGTGGTCCATAAAATGAGAAAGTCTATTGTATCATCAAGCTACAAGAGACGTGATATTTTGAATTAATTAAAAAAGACCATATTATTTTTTTTTAACATTTCATCAATCACTTAATAAAGAAGAAAATTGATGTGATGTTTTTGAACTGACTTGAGATATCATGTCTATTGTACTTTGAGGGTATAATAGACTTTTTCTTATAAAATATATATGATCAACTATAATAAAATCACTATATTATCTAAAAAGTCCACATAATAGCCCTCTCTCTTTTTTTTTAAAAAAAAAAAATTAAGACGAGGAACATTAAAATGTTTGTGAAAAAATAAAACCCTAGTTTTTTTATTTTCTCATGCAACATATTATTTTTATAATCCAAAAATTAGTTAATATGTGACACTATATATAGACTCTCAAGTTAAATCAACAACATTTTATGCCTTTGCCACATTAGTTAGTTATATATAAGACTTGATGATCAATGGAAATGCCTCCCTCCCCCCCCCCCAAAAAAAAAAAAAAAAGGAGAGAAACTAGGGAATGAAATTTTCAAATTTGAAGGACTTAGTTGTTTAGTTTTATGGGTAGAGGAACCCCTTTGCAAGCAATGGTAAAAGGTTGAGGAGTGTAGTTGATATTAAGCATATATATATATATATCTAAGTTGGGGGGGTCCGGGAAGAAGAAAGAAAGAGAAGTAATTGGCTAAAGTCCAAACTTCGAAGCCACGGCAAAGTAGAAACAGTGGAGTTTCCATCCTTGGTTGCGTGAAGCAAACATACACACACACACATACACAGAGGGACGCGGTGACGGTGACGGTGAGGGTGAGGGTGAGGGTGAGTGACAGACAGGCAGTCGCCAACTTCCAACCGTCGTGGTTGTGGCCACGTGCGAAACCCACGTGGGATAAACATCCCATCCAATCATGTAGTCACCTCCGTTTCAGCTTTTACTTAATTACCGCAAGTCCACAACTAGCAGGCTACTTACGTTTTCTGGTTTGTTTTTTTTTTTTTTTAAATAAAAAAAAAAACTGGATTTTTTTTTTAATGTTATGATGATAAGAAGAATTATTAATATAAATGTGTTTAATTTACTTAATTTTATTAATTTATATAATATTTTATTAATTTTAAAATAATAAACATTTTAATTGTATTTTTATATTAAGAATTTGAAGGTAAAA